ATTGGCATCATCACCATGGGAACAGCATGACACAGTCCCTCAAAGATACCGTGTGAACCAGCGTGAGTGATGAAAGCCCGAGCTCCAGGATGTGCTAACATGCAAACACACAAAGTTAGTTGAACGTGCAATTACTGCAAGATGTCAGCTGTTATATGATATGTGAAATAGACACACAGACCTAGTAGGTCGTTCTGAGGCACCCATCCCATCATCTTCACATTTTCTGGGACATTGTCAGGAACCTGCCCAGTGTATCTCCATATCACCTATCAAAAGACACAAAGAGTTATTTATTGATCTTTTAACTGTGTCTTGTTATATAGAATCTTATCATTTTCATGCATATGCTCAAATATATTCCTTTACCTTCTGTGGAATCTGTCTGAAGGCCTCTAGGAAGATGGAGGTCTTCTCCTCTGGCAGATCTGACACCATAGTGCCCAGAGTGAACACCACAAACCCAAACTCTCCTGACACCCAGGACTCCAAATCCTGCAAAAACACAAACCCATTGTAGGGGTATGAATTTATTTCCCTTTCCATATTCATCCCTCTATGTTCCTGCATTAAAATCAAACAGGTGAAGTGATGAACAAGTGAAATAAAATCAAAATGTTGATACAGTTTTCCAGATCAGAAACACTCAGAGCTCTTACCTCAGGCAGAGGATTTCTCACATTGCAGTTGATGCCACCAACTAGTACCATATTAGGCATGAGAGGGCGCGGGAACTCCAGTATCAAGTCAATCCTATTTAAACACAGTATCACAATATTCACCTGAATATGAGACTGAGACTTTTTAAATCTTTCTTTCAGTGAGATTCAGTGGCATAAAAGTCAGTAGGACTTTGTGAAAGTAAATATATGCATTCACATTATATTCCTAGCCTGTTAGTGTAATAGTATATGTGTGTGTAGGTTCTTCTTCTGTTGTGTATTCTTCTCCCAAACATCAATATACAACCTTTGTACATGTTACCTCAGCAGCCAGATAGCAGAGTCTGACAGTACTTCAGCTACGCCCACCTCCTCTCCCAGGAACTGATAGGCCATTTGGTCAAAGCGCCAGTACAGCAGTCGGGAGAGCAGCGGCTCCAGTAAAGCTACCTGTGGGTCAGAGGTATCACAGGACAATAAACAAATGCACAGCAAAAGGTGTTGATGATTGGCAAAGAGCTTAATTTTAGTTTTATGAGTTAAATTGTAACAGTGATTAAACTGAGGTCA